TCTCTCTCTCTCTCTCTCTCTCTCTCTCTCTCTCCTAAAATAAATAAATAAATAATTTTTTTTTTTATTAATTCCTGGCAGTATGCTAGGATATCAAATGACAAATTTAAACAATACTTTCTTCTAAAAAGAATGATAGTAGGGCTTTACCCATGTCCAGCCTTATATCTTAAATAGACATTTCTCCAATGATTACAGATGACCAGTAGGTACATACAAAGATATTCAACATTATTAGTTTTTAGGGAAATGCAAATCAAATTTATAATTAGATATCACTTCATACCTATTACAAAGGCTGTTAAAACACACACACACACACACACAAATAACAAGTGTTGATGAGGATGTGGAAGAATTGGAACCTCCTACATTGGTAGTAGGAATGTAAAACATCTGCTATAAAAAATAGTTTGGAGGCTGGGGATGTTGCTCAGTGGTAGAGCACTCGCCTAGCATGTGCAAGGCCCTGGGTTCGATCTTCAGCATCTCATAAAAATAAGTTATTTAAAAATAAAAAATAGTTTGATACTTCTTCAAAAAGTTAAAAAGTTATCATATGACCCAGCAATTCTATTCCTAGGTCTGTACTCAAGAAAATTACAAACATAGATCCTCTTGTAGGTGTGACTCAGTGGTAGAGCATTGAAACCCTGGGTTCCATCCGCAGCCCTGGGGTGTGGGGAGGGGGGAATATATTATGTATTTAAAAGATATGTGAATAGGATTTGAAAATATTTCTATCATATAGAAGCCTTTTTTTTTTTTTTGGGGGGGGGGGGGAACTAGGGATTGAACTCAGGGGAACTTGACCATTGAGCCACATTCCCAGCCCCATTTTGTATTTTCTTTAAAGACAGGGTCTCACTGAGTTGCTTTTCACCTTGCTTTTGCTGAGGCTGGCTTTGAACTCTCAAGCCTCCTGCACCTCAGCAATTCAGCAATACTATAAGCAACCTATCTCAAAAATTGGTTTAAAAAAGGGGATATGGGGCTGGGATTGTGGCTCAGCGGTAGAACGCTCGCCTAGCACGGGCAGGACCTGGGTTCCATCCTCAGCACCACATAAAAATAAAATAAAAATAAAAGATGTTGTGTCCACTGAAAACTAAAAATAAATTCTCTCTCTCTCTCTCTCTCTATTAAAAAAAAAAGGGGGGGGTGGACAGAGTCAATCCTTGGTACCAAAAGAGTCAAAGGACAGTAAAAATGTGACAGAGTCAATGGATTAGGGTTAGGTATTAGAGGGAGTGAGCTGGTGAGATAGGTAGTAATCAATGGGAAGCATGAAACTAAGATAATCAAAAGGTTGAAGTTATTAGTAATAGGAACATCTATGCAGAAAGTAGGAGATTGGAGCCATAGTCCAGGCAATAGATGAGCAGTGCCTCATATGGGTAGAAGAAGGGTAGACAAAGAAGCAGAAAGACTCATCTTTTTGTAAAGGACGTAGAACAGACAGTGCTTGACAAAGGACGTAGACAGACAGTGCTGGAGGCAAAACGTGGGAAAAGAAACTACCAAGCGCCCAGATTCTGGGAAAAGAAAAAAACTGTATGCTTATATGTGAACATAAAATGCATTTTCAGCTCTAAAATAGTTTGAGCTAGCATAGGGTCACAAGCCTGTAATCACAAGTTTTGAGTCCAGCTTTGGCAGTTGCAAGATCCTGTTTCAGAATAAAGAAACTAAAACTATGGTGTCTAGGAAGGCACATCTACAGATACTTGTGAGTATGATTACTGTCTGCTCTAAGCAAGATGATGCTTTTCTTATGGGGAAAGGAAGATGGTTATGATTGGGCCAGAACCATGGAAGGGCTCTGTAGTGGCCAGCAAAGTTCTATTTCTTAAAGAGAATTATTTCTTGACCTAGGTGGTTCTTAGAATAATTCATTAAGCTTTACATTTAATTCATTTGGTTTTCTTTGTGTGCATTTTATTTTGTAATAAAAATATACATTTTGAAATAAATAAGTAAAAATCGCCAGGAGTGGTGGCACATGCCTATAATCCCAGCAACTGGAGAGGCTGAAGCATTAGGACTCAAATTCAAGACCCTAGGCCCTAAGCAACTTAGGGATACCCTGTCTGAAACTAAAACAATAAAAAAGATTGGGGTGTAGTTCAGTGGCCCTGGATTCAATTCCCAGTACCAAATAAATTTAAAAAGCAAAAATCAAAGACAAAAAATGGTTAGTGGAGAGAATCAACAGGCTAATAGAAAGACTTATCTTCTCCCACAACCCATATTTCAGAGTAACAGCCAAGATTACCTTAAGCAGACAAGACTATGATGAGCCTGGTTTCCCTCTAAAACAGATTCTTAGGGAGCTACGTTGAACGGGGGTGGGGGGGTGGGGTGACGAACAACTTGTGTACGTTGATACAGCAGGAGTGGGAGCCATTTATTGTAGGACCAGAGGGGTATATATACATTCCACACAGCTTATCTTAATTAACATAAACTAGATACAGCAGTCAACCAATAAGGAATCTCCACACTTAATGGCTTGCTGGCATTACTTCACAAACCACTCCCTCTGCAAAATGCCAGGCACCATCTTGACTTGTTTACAGACTCTAACATGTAACTATATCAACATTAACAGAATATTGCTACCTATTTCTTTTGTTATCATTGTTGGTAGTTGGCTTTGATATGCATGTGTTTGTGTGTGTGTGTGCGCACATGCACATGCATGCACACACTTCATTTTTTCCTTCCACCATAATTAATCTGTATCTTCTTATTTCTTCCAGAATGGATTTTTGTCTGCATTGCCTTATTTTGGTTGTTGGTTATGTATGATTCTGTCTGGTCAAGCTGCTGACAATTTAAGGGCAAAGTGGAATGTTTCAACTATATGTGTTCGAAGAATTTTTACCCTTATTGGTGAGTGAAGTGAATCAAGTTTTGTTTGGGGTTACAGAGAGTTCTTTTTTTTTTTTTTTTTCTTAATTTTATTTATTTTTATGTGATGCTGAGGATCGAACTCAGTGCCTTACACGTGCTAGGCGAGCATTCTACCACTGAGCCACAACCCCAGCCCTGTTTGGGGTTACAGTTGTTGAAATGGGGGGCCAGTGAGAACAAAGTATTTTTCTACTCTCACACATAATTAACACAATATTCCACACCAAAACATTTTACCTCTGGTCACCAATATGTGTGTGGGGATTTCTCGCACACAGCCAGTTCTGCAGTGGATACCAGCTGAGTGTTCTGTATTTCAATTCCAACACTATCTACCTATGTATACTGTAGGTCCCACAAGTTGAGAGCTGAGTCCAATAAGACCACACACACACACACACACACACACACACACACATTCAGATGCCAATCTCAAGTCATTTATATTTATATATAAAAAAAAATATATATATATATATAATTTTTTTTTTGTATTGGGGATTGAACCCA